TCTCCAAACAATACTGAAAAATTTGACGCATAACTTCGGAAACAAAAGTAAAAGATAACAACACGCTCGAAACACGTCTCAGCGGCTACATCCAACTGCGTGCTATACGGTTATCCTCTACTTTTATTGAATATATATATATATATATATATATATATATATATATATATATATATATATATATATATATATATATATATATATATTTACAAATGAATAATTTTTATAGTGAAAATTTTTTAGAATTGAAATTATATTTCAAAAGTTTTGAACTCGACTGGGATTCGAACTCGGGTCTTCAGGTTTATGCCCCACTGCTTGTGACCGCTAAGCTACCGAGGTCCACACTTCGAGATGCAACTTCACATCTAACATGGTCTATATTAGACATGTTCGCTTTGAAAGTCATCAATTCTTGATTAATAGATTAAATATGGACTGATGATTCATAATAATGATGAAACAATTGTATCCTATTATCATTCAACAAGATAGATGAATTTTTCGAAACGCTCTTAATATTCACTCTCGAAAGTGATGGGTTCGTTCTCGTTGACAACATTTGTGTAGACAGTTCCCTGAGAGTTTCATTTGAAATATTTCCATAAAGAGTCTCAGTATTTACTAGTATCAAATGACCTGTGAATCTTTGAACTATCTACACTTTTGCCCGCCTGGGCATGGGATTATTCATACACATTTCAGACAATTTTCTGTTGTGTTCGAATGAAATATCTACAAAGCCTTCCATTCGCATTCTTGTTGTCATCAGTAGGAATCTTGAACGCTAGGGAGAGTTTATACGTCCTATATTCGTTTATATCTATATTCGTTTTGAAAATCATCGATTCTTGATTGATAGATTAAATATGGACTGATGATTCATAATAATAATGAAACAATTGTATCCTATTATCATTCAACAAGATCGATGAATTTTTCGAAACGCTCTTAATATTCACTCTCGAATGTGATGGGTTCGTTCTCAACAAACCAATCGTCTATTTGTCTACACAAATGTTGTCAACTTAACTTCGTTGACAACATTTGTCTAGACAGCTCGCTGAGAGTTTCATTTGAAATATTTCGATTGAGAGCCTAGGTATTTACTAGTATTAAATAACCTGTGAATCTTTGAACTATATAAATATATATATATATATATATATATATATATATATATATATATATATATATATATATATATATATATATATATATATATATATATATATATATATATATGAAGACATATTTAAATTTGGAATCGAAATCGAAATACACCACAAAAGTTTTCAACCTCGACTGGGATACGAACCCAGGTCTCTCAGGTTTACGCCCTGTTGCTCTACCAACTAAGCTACCGAGGTCTACAACTTCGCGATGCAATTCCAACTATATCTAATTACTCTTTTGTTTGCAAGCCAGTCATCGACGCACGGGTTGTCCTCTTCAAACTGCACGAACGTGAGTAAACACCTTCCCATCCTCCCAGATGTACATCTGCATGGTTAGCGCAAATAATATTCACTTCAATTCAATCTCATGTTCGATTCACGAAAAAATTCAATAATAAATCTGGGACGATGGGAAGGTGTTTACTCACGTTCGTGCAGTTTGAAGACGACAACCCGTGCGACGATGACTGGCTTGCGAACAAAAGAGTAATAAGATATAGTCGGATTTGCATCGCGAAGTAGTAGACCTCGGTAGCTTAGTTGGTAGAGCAATAGGGCGTACACCTGAGAGACCTTGGTTCGTATCCCAGCCGAGGTGGAAAACTTTTGTAGTGTAATTACGATTCCAAATTCAAATATTTCTTCATATACAATATGTCCGCACGTGCATGGTTAGCGCGAATAATATTCACTTCAATATATATATATATATATATATATATATATATATATATATATATATATATATATATATATATATATATATATATATATATATATATATATATATATATATATATATATATATTCGAAATTAATTTATAATTTCCAAGATAGTTTACATTTTATGGTTTCAGTAATAACAGGCTATTTTCAATCTTAAAAACTTCATTTTCAACGAAAAAAAAATTTTGTTGACATACGTCAACGCAAATGAAGTTTTCAACATTGAAAATAGCCTGTTGTTGCTGAGAACATTGAAAATATATATCCATAACGAAACCTAAATTGAAATTTTCTCATATATTAAATAGTTTGAATGACTCTCGTTTCGAGGTCATTCGAAGTTCTTCTTCGGGTGGTAGATTAACACTAATTTGATAACACACATTTTGATCTCCAGTATCCGGTATCTCCAGTATCCGTATATAGACAGCAGCTCCTACAGTCGGTTGGTGAGATTTGATACATCCGTAAAAAGGAGTACATACTCAGGGTACTCTTGTATAATTTGAAAATACCTTTTCTTTTATAGCAATACTCGAATATGAGGGGATACGGACGTCGACTGAAATAATAGTGTGTTCATACTGCATTGAAAAATTGGAAACCTATCATCAACGAATTTCTTTTGAGACTGAATACGAAGAACTGAAAATGGTTACCAATAATGGGTCATGTTTCACAATCCAAAACCGTTTTGTGAGAGTTTCGAGAAAAAGATTCCGAATACATTTTATCAATTTGCTGGAACAAGTTATTTTCTTCATTAAAAATTTACCTCCCAGACTACATCGACGCAGACGAAAATGAGTTTCGCTAGACTCCCCCCAGACCACATCACTTGGAGTACTTCTCAAGAAACCTACACAATATTACAGAGCATTTCTTTGTATGACATTCAGACATTCAAGAGTACCACTTGAAGCATGACATCCAGACATTCAAGAGTACCCCTTGAAGCATGACATCCAGACATTCAAGTGTACCCTTTGAAGCATGACATCCAGACATTCAAGAGTACCCCTTGAAGCATGACATCCAGACATTCAAGAGTACCCCTTGAAGCATGACATCCAGACATTCAAGAGTACCCCTTGAAGCATGACATCCAGACATTCAAGTGTACCCTTTGAAGCATGACATCCAGACATTCAAGAGTACCCCTTGAAGCATGACATCCAGACATTCAAGAGTACCCCTTGAAGCATGACATCCAGACATTCAAGAGTACCCATTGTAGCCAAAGAAAAAACTACCAAAATCTAAAGTTGACCTCACATAACTACGATATAGCATTAGGGCAATATTTTGATCTGTACCCCAACTGAGATGAGTCACATAACTTATCAATTGAATTCTGTTTTCTGCTTTAATTCTGATATTATTCACATGGTTTTTCTAATTCAACGATTTATCTAGTATAAATCCGAAAAATTTGACTGAATTTTTATGTTCAAATGTATCACCATCTAGAGTGATATGGTTGGGTAAATCAATTCGTTTAGTTGTGAATAAACATATTTCTGTTTTTGTTAAAGATAAAGAATGGTCATGCTCGGAGAGGAAGTCACAAAAGCATTTTTTTGCGTTTATTGAATCTTGCCTACACATATCTATAGAAGTATGAGAAGTGTGAATGGCGATGCCGTCTGCGTATTGTAATATCTTAATATTTGGATTATTAAAATAATTTGTTAAGACGGTGATTTTATGACAAATAGCAGAGGTGATTCCTTCCTGTGTAAGTGCTGTGCTCGTGTACCTCGGACCCTTCTCCATCAATTTTCAGATAGAGACATCTGTTTATATACATATTGTATATTAAGATTGCAAATTTTAGACTCAAACCTATTTCTATACATTCTTGTTTGAGAATATTCACATTGACATTATCAAAAGCCCCTATCATATCCGCAAATATTGACATCAATATTTTGTTATTTGAGAAGACCAAATAAATATCTATAGTAAGATGGCAAATGTTGTCATAAATTCCGTGTTTTTTGCGAAAACCGAACAGAATATGAGGAAATTTTTTTGGATGCTCTAACCACCATTCAAGACGACGTTTCAAAACTCGTTCGAAAATTTTAAAGACACAATCCATGATCTTCTCATACGTGCTATAGGGAGTCAATTTTTCGAAAAATTTATCACACAAATTACCCTTTACAATCGGTTGTCTAATAAGAGATGAATACTGAACACTCTTAACCCTATTCCATACTATCCCGATTGGAGTACTTCTGTTCAATGAAGAGCAAAAAATTCTCCAACTATTGCGTTTACGTATTTTAATAGTACGCCTGGCAACCGCTTCACTTTTTTTATAAGCGACGAAGGTTTCTTGTGTGGAAGAGATCAAAAACTATCTATAAGTTGAATGTTTATTTTCAATAGCTCTTCTACATTCTTCATTACACCGTGCTTCACAAAATTTCCCCTTCACAACCTTACTATAACGAGGAATACTCAAATCACATGAAGATATTAATTCATTTTTGAAAAACTCATATTCTAAATATTCCTTGCTGACTTGGTCTTTTGAATATTCCTCCATACAATACGAAAAATTCACACAGTCTGCCTTATTTGTATTTTATAAACGAGAATGACGTTTGTTAGAAGATTTTATCGTACCCACATTCAAGTTGAATCTAATAACAAAATATAATTGAATATAACGAGAGAAAACGAGAATATCATGAAATGATGTTTATTAAAAAAAACCCAGATGCCATAAATGACAAGACAGATATAAAAGGACTTAAAAATATGAGGATAAAACAACATTCTATGCGCATAGTGACACCGGAGAAACAGATGTAGTTAAACGAAAATTAGTTTCTGTCCGAATGCGAACGTAATAGTATAGATTGAAAAGTAACATAATTTTTTAATAGAAGTGTCATTATTTGAAATCTTTCGGCATATTATTTCATATTGTAGTTATAAGTATTGTTTTTTTTTTAATTCAGTGGACCTACAGTTAAACGCCGGTTCCGAACGGCCATTGGGCTTGTAATTGATATACATTTACATTACCCAGCATATTTCATTATTTGAACTACTTAAATCATAGACAAACACAAACACCCATGCCTTCAGCGGGGCTCGAACCCGAGTTCTACGCACCATAGTCGGGAGTTCTACCGACTTAGCTATGGAGACCGGCAGTATTGTTTTTGTTTACGTGGTATGTTTTGATCGTGTAATGTTGTATACATGTGATTTTCTTTCTTCTTCTAATTGATGAGAATATATTGATAAACTTAATTTGAAAAAGGCCCAAAAAATGGGCCGAAACGTATTGTGCTGAAGATTTTTAATAAATAATTTTGAGAAACAAAAAACCCAATAATTTATTTCTGGATATATATGTATATATATGTATATATATATATATATATATATATATATATATATATATATATATATATATATATATATATATATATACTGAGATTTACTGAGATAAATTGCCCTCAATTTGGTATATGGACCTATGGCGTTTTGAAAGTCATTGATTCTTGATTGATAGATTAAATATGGACTGATGATTCACAATAATGATGAAACAACTATATTCTATTAACATTCAACAAGATCGATGAATTTTTTTCAACGCTCTTCATATTTATTCTTGAATGTGATGGGCTCGTTCTTGTTGACAACATTTGTGTACACAGCTCCCTGAGAGTTTTATTTGAAATATTTCGATATTTCGATTAAGAGTCTCAGTATTTACTATATATATTATTACATATATATATATATATATATATATATATATATATATATATATATATATATATATATATATATATATATATATATATTCAAAGGCATGGACTTTGTGAGTTCACAGAAATCCTCTTTTATATATGAATCATAAGATGGCAATATATTGTATTGTTAATTATATTGTACTAATCATTGTTGTAATAAAAATTCTCATACTACGATTCTTGAAACTTTAAATAGATATCTTTCGTTTGTTGGTGGATACGCAACTGACGAGTTCCTTGAAGCACAAAACAGTAACTTCCTTGCGTTTCCACAACATATGTAAGCACCCATTTCTATATTCTTCAATATTTATCCCTTGAAAGATAAATCATTGTGAGACATCACAATGTTCATGTTTCACAGCCAGCTCGGATATAATATTGTTTTGAATAATTCGTAAGAAATTTCAGAAATATTCAATATTGAATATTTACAAGTGCGATGATACGAGCACAATAACTATAGAATTCATTTTCTTATAGTTTATTTTTTCATGTCTTCAGTAGCCCTTGATGGCAACCTCTAGAAGTGTAAATGAAACCCATCGTTTCTACTATCGCAACCCGAATGGCCTTATTTCATCAAATCAAATGAAATTGTGCATGAACTAAAATTGTGAAATGTAATTTCTGAATCGATAAATTCGTGTAAAACTATTAATGTTAGATGTATTTTTGTTTTTATATTGAATCCTAAAATTTGAGATGTATTCATTTTTTTTATTAATTCCTGATATTTGAGCTGTATAATAATCTATGGGTTATATTTGCATAGGACTTTGGAATATATTTCTGTCTTCTGATTCATTACAGGATTTCTATGAATTGAAGTCGATGCCTTTCGTTTTTCGTAGTGAATAATTCCTCTTATAACCAGTTCAGGTAATAACTACTTCTCTATACTCATTTAGATTATGCAAGATAAAATAATATTGTTTTTGTGAACAAGTTATTGAGTATTGTCTTGTAGGTTCAGTTTATGGGAATGAGGTTTTGTTTTCAATATGTGGTATGTGTGTTCAAAAACACAATCGCTTGGACGAACCGAAATATAGCTACATTAAATACAAATCTGAATATATTTAGTACATTGCAAGACGAAATAAAAACTATAGAATGATGTTTGAATTGGAAATTTGATTATCAACTCACTCAATACTTCTGATAGAAATGATTGACGAATTAAAAAACTTATTAGATAACTACGTTAACGATATACCACTTATTTCTAATGGAAATATAAATTATGATATTCTACCTTCAGAAACTTTATATAATAATATTAATAATCTTTATTTCACTTAAGATTCTCGTGATACAATTATATGGTCGAAACAATAGTATTCAATTTTAAAATCTATCTTGTCAATTTTGTTGCCTGACATATCATACTTGAGGTACAAAAATTATTATTGAATTCTCATTACCTCTAGCAATTCAAAATATCTTTTCTTGTTATGAAATGATAGAATTAAAATCGTTCATAAGTATCGAACTACTAGTTAGAGCATTCGATATTCCAGTAATAACAAAATCCAATAATGACCGTAAATTTGGACAAAGCATTCCATACCGTAGGCCATAGTAATCTGTTCCAAACGATGGAAAATATTGATATACAATTATTTGAAAGCTATCTCCATGTAGAACATATGTGATGACTGCAGAAAAGGCTCTTATAAATGAATGAAGCTCGGAGAAAATGCAACGGAAAAAGACAAAAATATGCGCATTTAAATGCATCACAAATGGACAAAAAATGCAAAGATTTTAGAAAAAAATGCAAGAAATGATGTATATTGTAATTTTGAATAATACTATTATTTCAGTATTTTACTATGGTAGGGAGTGGGGGCGGGATTCAATAATTGGGTATTCAACGAAAATTTATATTACGTATCAGATTTTATGAATAATAAAATAATAATAATACATAGGTACTATTAAAATTATTATGGTCACAATAAAACAAAATAACAATTTTTGAACAGACATAACTCACGTTTTACAATTATTGTGAAAACTATTAATAATTATGTGTTTTTCAAAGTTTTTCAGGAGGAAACTTTGTCTCTTGTCAGAAAACATGTGTTTGAAAATTGAAAAACTTCGTTAAACATCAACTGATGTAATGGCAGGATATTTATTTTCACAAATGATGTTTAATACTAAATTTGGTATATTTACTAGTTTTCGCACATAAAAATTTTTGATATATTTTTCAAAATTTGAAAACCTGTATTATTTTGAGCCACTTAATCTTGAACATTTGAATATGTTCAGAGCGACGGTCCCAATTTGTCCACCAACTTTCTCACAATTTGACTCAAACTGGCTAATTAGAGCTACTGATTCCGTTAATGGAATACAAGATTTTTCTAGATTTTTAATAGTTGCAGATACAAACATATAATTGGTTTTTATAAATATTAAATTATTCTTTGTTAATGAATTCAAAAAGATTTTTTGAGTTTAAAATAGATGTAGATAAAGAGTCACTCAGATCGTCAATCACATGTTTAATGGCGTGGTAATTGTCAGCATAAAATATAGCTGCATCCAACCAGGTACCCCAACGAGTTATTACAGGTTGTGGAGGTAAGGCAAGATTTGGAAATTTTTCTTTGTAAAATTGAAAGCGTGTCTGAGCTTTTAAAAATACTTTTTTTACATAGTTAATTAGGTCATTGACCGAAGGATACTGCTCTCTTATACATTCTGCCACTCTATTCATTCCATGAGCTAGATAGGTTACATGTTGCAGATTCGAATAAAATATTTTTAAATTTTGTCCAGCTTTAATCATATAAGGTGCTGCATCAGATAAAAATAAAATGAATTTTTCTGTGGGAACAATTTGTGGCAAGGAAAAATTGTTCAATGAGTCTTGGACAAATCGTGCAATTGTTGAATTATTAGCTTTTTCAAGTTTTTTGAAACAAAAAGATAGGATCTGCTTGGATTTGTTTCCCCTAAAACACCTTTTAACGCATGTGCGATATATCTACCTCACGAATCGGTGGTTTCGTCTACTACAATATAGAAATAGTTTGAATTGACTTCGTTTTCGATATAAGTTAATGTTTGTTTTTAAATTGAGTCGACACTTGCTTTAAGTAAGGTCGACTCGTCAGGAATATTTAGTTTACAATATGTTCCTAAAAATTCCTTCAGGTTGGGATTATTTAACTTGCTCAACGGTATGTTACTGGCAATCATTGCTTTGCACAAATCCTCATTAAACTTTTTTTGGTCGTCTTTTTTTGATTTCTGTTGTTTATCATCGCAACAAACCTCTTAAGGTTTGTGGCGATGATAATTTCTGCATATTGGAAATATGCTTTGCAGATTTCACGTGTTGATCCGCAATGAATTTTTTCTCGGCGTGGATCTATAATGGAAACGGAAAACTGCTTATTATTATTTTTACAAGACAAATATACGCAAAAAAACAAATATCTAACCTCAAAATAATTCGACACCCTGTATGTTTTTAAAAGGACAATTTTTTTACTTGGTAGGCACAAAGAACGTGTCAATCACGGCCGACCCGACCATATCATTCACCCTTTTGTTTTATAAATATCTCTTAATATAGGTTTAACAGTTTCATGATCTTGTGAAGTATCATTAAACGCCTTTAATTTGAACGAAAATTTTACAAAATCGATAAAAACCCTCGAAACTCATTGAATAAACAACAAAATAGTAACATCCGGTTACAATTTGTTAAAAAATAAGTTGCTAATAAGTGAAAAGAAAAAAATGGAAAATAATATGTTACTTATATCTTGAATACATGATTACTTATACCTTCAAATAAAAAATACTACAAAACCAAAGCCAATAGCAATATGTAACAAATACTTAAAATTTTTGAACACACTACAAAAAAGGTGGTCTCATATCATTAAATGTCTTTTTAGGCATTTCGACTCAAACACTTGTATATTGTATCCTGATTGAAAGAAAGTAAAATAGGTTCACTGTTAACTAATCGTAATGCTTTCGTTGGAAGATACTGCTCATTTAAAGGTTTACCTAATATTTACCGGGGGAGGCTGCTCCGACTGCGATGTTTTGGAAATCCCCCGGTTACAGTTACGTGTTTATAGTATTTGGTATTTCCCATTTTAGGGTTGCAGTTCCCATTAAATGCAAAAAATGCTCAAATCTTTAAAAAAATGCATTTTTTGGGAAGAAGTATAAAAAAATAAAAAAGATGCAAAAAACTGCAAGTTGCCAGTTCCCAGTTCTATATATGAAATACACTAAAGACGAAAGTGAAAAAGGATTTGTTGCTAATGAAGAGTGGCCATTTCTTACCGTACTCTTGTAGTGATTACATATTACAGATGTGAATCACAGATCAATTTAGACTTC